GCTTTTAAGTCTTCCCCATCCGAATCGGAAGAAGAAGACGAGGACGAGCCAGACGAAGAATCAGAATCACTAGATTCAGCATTGGAATTTGAACCCGCTTCAGAATCTAAGGATCTACTAATCTTAGTTGTTGAAGTTTGCGATTGCGATTGTGAAGCAGCGGTTGAATCTTGGTCAGAAAGTGCAACGTCATCATCTTTCCCGCGTGCCGACACTTTATGCCCGTTGCCTTTTTTCTCCGCGTTGATATCAATCTTCCCTCCCGCTAATGCATCGTGTTTCTGTGCGGTTTTCAATCTTCTCTCTTTTTCGGCTTTCCAAAATTCGTCGTCGTCGCTCAACATGTCATCCGAATCCTCAATGAATTGTGCGCTCTTAATCTTCAACGACTCTTTTTCCTTTCGTTTTGACGAAACCGTAACTCCGTCAACTCGTTCTTTTCGTTTTCGTTCCTTACGTTTCTTGATTCGTTTAAGAAATTTATATGCTGGTTTGCCGTCTAGATCGAGCGGGTTTTCCACGAATTGTGTCAACATGTTTATATCTTCCAAAAGAACATCTCGAGGTCTAGTGCGTGGTATCGACCAATGTTTCAAGGGGGAGTCAGGGTCTAGCATAGATTGACGCGGTAAGTGTTGGTCTTATTAGCAAGTGAATTCTCCAGGATTGAATGTGTAGGAAATAGAACACACCGGTATCAGGCGGAACAAATCTGAATAGCCTCATTAACAATCTTAGTTCTTTATTGCTCTTGCATGCCTCAGCTCTTGATTCGTCGTCAGGTTGAATATCTGAGAAAATGGAACACAAAGAAATAATGAGAATCCCTACAAACAATTATGTGTGGCGATGAAAAGAGTTGCTACATACAATAATAATCCCAGGTAACTCCGTTATCGTCGTCGTCGTCCTCATCAGAGTTTCGTTCGGGCGGAACCCGCTGATCGGCGGCCTTTTGCATTTCCTTATTACGATTGAGTTAGCTTCGACGGTATCTGTGACTTGGACACTTATAAATGCAGCAAACCTCCAGTAACCAAAGCACCAAGTCTTTTTCTTCCTTGTCCATCAATACTTTAACAGTCACACCAATCTGTTGAGACAAACTGAGAGTGTCTTTGACTTCGATTTCATCTTCTGGTCTGTAAGTAAGAAGCCAAATTAATAATGCAATGAGTACGAAGTAAGCGAATGGGATGTGCAGAAGAACTACATACTTCCAAACTTTGTACTGAGAAAACAATTTGAGGATATGTATGTTAGCAAACAGCAGGGGAAGATGGGCACTTGGAGTTAAAACTCACCTTTTTGTTAGACGATAGACTTGGGAATACATCATCATCTTCCAATGCATCCTTTCCGGCGTTGATACGCCGACAATCTGATTTATGTTTCGGGAAGAAAATCTGTTATGCTGAAATGAGTATAACAGTTTGAAATGATCAAATTTAAAAAAGCGGTGCCAACCTCGACAAAAAGCAATGGATATTCCTTTGCCTTTTCAAAGAATTTAGAGACTAGAGTTCTGATAAAGTTATATAGCTCTTTGTGTTCTTGCGTACTAGGTAATGCGCGTCGACTTTGGAGAATATTATTAAAAATATTCAATATTGAAGCCTTCAAATTTCGATCAGCACAACCGATTCCACAAGGTATAAGAGAAAATACGGTAGAAACCTTATAGAATAATGGCTCCATGCAACATTTGATAGCAACGCGATCAAACATTTTAACAATATGGTGAATACTGTTTTCCCGGAGCGATACGAAATCACGCAAGAGCTTAATGTACGTATCAATTACGCTTTCGTTTGCAAAATTCTAAAGCAAGAGTGAAACCCGTCAAGCAATGAAATATTTTCCACGGAGAGGCAGGGAACAGATGATTCAACAGTGTACCATTTCGAATCGTTCAAATTTAAATTCCCCTTCAGTGAATTGAGGAGCCGTGTCTTCTTCGTCATCGACGTCGTCGATGATTCCTGTTTCTTCCTGGTCTGTAATTCGATGAACGAATACGATAAGTAATTAATGAATACAAGGAAAGCAAAAGAAAATTGATTGTGTCGAGAATCACCATTTTTCTTCCTTCCGCCGCGTTTCTTCTTCTTTATGATAACCGTTCCTTTCGAGGTGCAATAACTCTCCAACAAGCGCATCAATACGTGAGTAGTTTCAATCAAAGCCGTCAGGTAGCTGAATGGTGAAGTATATCAGTTCTAGAAACCATGCGATAAAGTGCGAACCACTAAATACATACGATCTAGATTGATCTTTGTAGCCTTTAAGTAGAGTGACAATTAACTCTAATGTAGATTGTTCATAGTAAAGATTATCTTGAATGTTTTCGGCAACTTCAACGGAAAGCGGGTCGTTTGATGACAGCATTTTCTCCATCGATAAAAGCTGTAAAAACGCCATGTCAGAACTGAAATTATTACTTTCTACCAACCAGACGTAACAGACCAATTGTTTAAAGCAGTTCACCGCAACATGAAGTTCTGTCCATCGCTAATGAGTATATAGATCAGTATATTAATTGACGGCAAAAACAAAAGATTTCCACTACTAAACCCACCTTCTCTTCATTCGCCATTCGAATGCGCTTGACAATAAATAACATTCCCCTTACATCAAGTATACTAGACACTAACTCAAATCCGTATTCTGGTTTCTCATTGTCCAGGTTTGAGCTTGTCATCATTGGATCCTTCGGGGAATAAACGTAACGCTGGAATTCCAAGAAAAAGCCGATGGTGTGTAGAATATGGATATAATCTTCTTCACGAATATGAGTTCGTTCGGCGTCCATATCGCGTTTGACCGAATTAATAAGGGCTAAAAATATTGCGAGTTTGAATATACACATGGTAGCAGGAGCTTTAAATTGGGACACGTACGGTTAAAGCAACTTTCCAAGAACTCTTTGCCAAATTTCTTAAGCAGCCGCAAGTAATCATCGCTGACTGTTTTACGTTTCTTAACATCTAAATCATCCTATGTGAGGAAGGCTGGCATTAATGGCACTGAATGTTGCTCAATAATATTTGATATTGATAACGCACATTTTGAGGGGCTTGACGGTTAGCGTACAACTTTTTCGTCACATCGATCGACTGATTAAGCGGATTAACGGCTGCTTGTTGACGGTGAAGATTTAATCTCGTGCCGTCCTATATTATGTGAGATGAGCTACTGTGTGAAAAAGAGAAAAGACAAGATAAGTCACGCACTCCAAATTTCACAGCAATAGTACCGCCAAATCTAGAATGGCGAGTTGGTATTGCCTTCTTTTGGAGTTTCTTTTTCGTCTGTTCTTGCTGTAACAATGCTGCCAAATCTTCACCCCGTTTCTGGTGAATCAGGAGTGAGTATAGTATATCCTTATATTGAAAGTCATTTCTGCGCTTTACCTTGGCTGAATTAGGGAACAAATCCTTTGCATCGATATTGTTGAAAATGTGATAGAATAACTCCAGGACGATGGTGTTCCAAGTTTGAAATTGCCGTTCATCAATCGAGCTCCCAACCGTAACAAAAAATTCCAAAATTTTAAGTTTATCCAATCGTTGTAGCAACATTTCCTACGTAATGCCAATTGATATGTGAATGGACGTCCAAACAACGCGCCAAATGCAGACGATTTCCGTTACCTGTAGTTTTGATCTCATAACCATTTCAGATGAAGCGTAGGCAGTTGGTTGCGGATCTTCAATACAGAGCAAATTTCGGAAAAAGTAGACAATAAGTCGAATTACGGCGTTATCACGATCGGTACGTTGTCTGTAGGGAAGTAGTGTTAGTTTTCGTCTTAGCATAAAGCGCATCGGGCCGAGACATATGAATCAATGTATACCGAAAAGGGACGGATAAAAGTTTAATTAGCAATTGAAACACTGCGTTCAATCCATTGCCCATGACAAGAGCATGCTTATAAGATCTTAATATTTCGAGCTGGCCGGCTGTATCGTGAGTCTCTTGATTAGGCGGCCAAGTCATTGGGACAAGCAACTCGACTAGAAAAGAAGGATCACATTTGATTACTTCTTCTGGATTTACCCAAGCGGCAAACTGGTATTGAAAATGAATTGAGGGAGATGGGGGGAATATCCACTTACCGACAGCTGTGGACACTGGAACATTGGCTCCGTGTTGCATCACGATTGGAATTAAGTCTCTTTGCAAAATCTCAAATTTCCCCAACATTCGCAGTATAGATCTATCTTTATCTGTTTCATCGAGTCTCAAGAATTTCTTCAAATCTCTTAAACAATCTTGAAAGAAAATGGAAAAATCAAGGGTTAGCCTCAAGCGCACTTAAATTTTAAAATGCCAAACACCACTGAAGGTCGAAAAAAACAAAACCAACATGGCCGACATTCGTAAAAAGATGACCTCATTCATACCTAGACATTCATCACCAAGGACGTACGACCGTTTAATAGAACCCTTCTCAGGACCGTCTTCTGCTATATACTCCTCTATACCGCCCATGGCGGTACAAACCGACAGGATATGTGATTCGAGTTCCTGTATTGTGGCCATGATCCTTCGCTAAAGCCAAATGAATTGTGCGATATATACTTTAATGACTTGCAGTAAACGAATGCAATGATGCAGCTCTGTTTGTCGGCACTTGAGGTCACCCTAGTGTTGTGAATACAGCCGGTGAAATCTGTGTGAACTCGAAGAGGAACTTTAGCGGCGACGCGATTCTTCCTCCTCAAATGCGGAAAAATGATATTCAATACATAATACTCTGCTGTAATCGTGAATGACGAGAGAGGTAGAAATTGCAGAAATGCAATTAAATTCGATTAAAATTAGATATGCACTTTGCGCTAACATTGACATTGACATGAGTACCGAATAGACGCAGCATTATTAAGATCGCCTATTCCATAATATTTATATAAATGTAAATTAAATGAAAGTAACTTGTTAATATCTCCTAAAAAAGAAACAGCACATTGATCAGACGTAATGACAACAACCAAAAATGTTTCGGTCGAGGTTTGAACTCGAGACCTTTCGCGGGCTCACAAGGGGCGATTGTGAGGCGAACGTGATAACCACTACACTACCGAAACTTGTTGTAGTGATCAACATAAAAAAAAGTATTAAAAGATTTATTAAAATATAAATAACAAATAACCTACCACTGGGTTAAAGCTGAGCATAGTTCTCAACTCATATACGCTAAAATCGCTCTTATATTATTGAAATCAATTTGTATTTGTTAAGAATGAAATAAGATGTGGCCGCGTGATCCTTGCAAAGTACGATTAATAGTAACTTCTTGTGACCGGAATGACATCACAATGTATTCCTGATTAGGTGTATGCTTGCATGTTGTATATACCTAGCGGAGTAACTATAATAACGAAGAACTACTAAGACAAAGTATATACTTGATAACGAGCTGTTGGACCATCTTTTCCAACAGTATTGCTTTATAATCTCCTTGCCTCTTAATTTTTACAATATTAATATTCATCAATGTACAAAGACACAACATTCTGCCTCATTTAGCTTTTTTTGTTCTCTAAATGCATGTTCTTGCATTCTGTATAAAATCTCAAGAAGACGATGACGATGAAGAAGAAGAATCGGGCAATGAGTCTGGATTGAAGTCCGGGGGTAATTTGCCTTCAAATTTTTTCCATCTCTAGACAACAGTTTCGGTGTAAAAAAAGTTTCGATGGGAGTATGGACAAGTTATCACATAGTCTATCATGACATTTAACGGGAATTATTTTTTCATCTTACCTTATGATCTAGAACTCTAAAATCCTCAACTAACGAAATCTGCAATAAATATTTCGCCAAAGGAAACATTTCGCGGTCAAATTGTCGTGTTTGAGGGGCATTTTTGAATGCCGTAATTTTTAGACCCTATCAAGAAATGCAGATGTTGAGGACAAATATCACGAAATATTACAGTGTTGGATATCCTTAATGACATAGGATGACATACACTTTGTGGATTCATGGCAAAATTCCGGGATAAATCGTCTATGTTTCAAAACAACAGTCAATAAATATGACCGAATCAATCACATGAAACCCTATGACGTACCGATATGTATACTATTGACTGGGCTGTACAACTCTGGAAATTTGTTCCAAATGATATCCAGCGCCTTGACTTCATGCTTATAGGGTTTACCGTTACGCTTCGTAGTGATACTAAACATTGAAGTCTTATCAAGGACTGAGAATTCCATTCCCGGAAAAATACGAATAGGAGAAAGGGGAGAGATTAGCCAAATATTAGACTCATTTTTTCACAGACCAAATCGAAAACGGAGGGTGGAAATGAACGAACCGAATGCAATTTTGTACCCGGGATGCGTCAATATTCCTAATTCCGTTATTTTCATTTCCTACACGAAAATGCGATATAGATCAGTTAGGCAGCTCTGGCGTAAAGAACCAACAAGTATAAAGTTCATACCAAGGCTCTCCAACTCGTTTGGCTATTTATGGTTCAAAATTAAAACAATGCAAAGTCAAGAGTCCCAACCGTTAATATCATATCGGTCATTATCTCATCCTTCGTCGACCCAATCACACACAAAAGAAAACCCAAACCGCACCTCCATACCACTATGTCATAATACTGATACGCCGCCGTCAAAAATTCATGAGTACCAGGTCGAAGCAACTCTGACATCCTCTCCGCCGTAGACTTGCAATCGAATATCGTGTAATCCAAGTCCATCACCAGTAGTTTTTTTCCAGGTCGAGGTGGGTTGATAATATTTATGCTTGTCTACGTTAATTTCCATGATCGTAGTCAAAGGAAGGAGGAGTGAGGGCAGAAACAGGGTGTAAGGTTTGCCGGTTGACATCAAGTAAGAGGTAATTGATGTACGTAAGAAAAGGCAATGAAACAAAGAGAACAGGATAAATATGATCAAGGCAACATTACCTTTTCTATATATCGTTTCAGTTTTTTCTGATTCTCGACAGTCTTCATTTCCTCGCCTTTATAATCCATGTCCACCCCATCCAAATCATTCAAGACCTCAACCAACCCATCTACGTCCTTGGGATCTTTAAACGTGTCATGACTCGGAGTGCCAATAAGTAAGAAAGACTGATCTGGTTTCAAGTTAAGCGAGGAAATGATGGTATCGTTGGGTGGAAGTTTGCCTTTGAAAAGGCCGACCAGTTTCTGGCGATCTACCGGGACTGATGTGAGAACAGCGAGTTGAGTCTGGAGTTAGGTACAATTGAAGTTCAGTTGATTGTCAGAGCATGAGAGCCGGTTAAAATATGTGATTAAACAAATCAGTTAAATGGTAATCATAGACAAAAGAAAGTCAATATAATGACAAATTGTAGATATCATTCCATGTCAGACCGGATAAATGAAACCTGAACAAGATGTTGACACCTTTATCAAGTGATATTCCCTTGCGCTATTCTACAAATATGCTGTAAATTCATATCGTAAAATACAAAACATACTTTCAACTCTCCAATGCTACACTCCACCGGAATCTCAAATGGGAACAACTGGGAATTCCATTTGGCGGTTAATGTAATAGTCTGAATGGGGGCGACGTCGTCACTTGTCTCGTTATCAACGGGATGATGCACTTGGTGAGATGCAGACAAAGAATCTGATTCCGTAGACATCATTTTATATTCACTGTATGTGCGAAGACAGAGGTAATTGAAATGACGACGGTGAAGTCGCCTCAGAAGGGAATGGCACAATCATTTGGTGGGACAATTACAATGCGCACCATCGCGGTCACATCACCTTAATACAGAAAGTAAACACTTCGTAGAGTAGAATAAAGCTCGGATATACAATAGATTAGCCATATCCTTCAATAGCAGTTGCACTGGTGCAGTAGTTAACAGTGAAATATCTGGAGCTATTGGCAGATTAGAAATAGAACTGTAGATTATCTGAAAGTAATCAGCAATCTAACAGTGCATAACAGGGCACGTACGGGTTAAGAATTAAAAATAAATATCCTTTCTGCTATCATCATTTTGTAAAACTCTCGTATTTATTGAAACAAAATGAAGAGTTCGGTGCCGCGCCTGGGCAAGATTACCACTGGCCCGAGTTCACCTTTTGCCTGTAATATATTGTTATGTAATAATTTAACAATTATCATTTTTTAATTGAAATAACTGAACAGACTGTCTCTGGGCGCCGGTGGCATACATAGTTTGATTGTCTAGCTACCTCGCCTGTGTTCTAATTAAAGGATGCTCGACTGATGATCAGTGGCTAAGCGTGACAATATCTTCAAGTGGAATAATAAATACTGTAGCTCTTTGAATGCGGAATGTACTGGCTGACGGAAGATTAATTTGATTATTATTCAGCTCTTTGTATCTTTTTATGTTGTTCTCAAACCTTTAAATCTAATACTAGTTTCAACTAGTACGACGACTCCGTCGAACTCCGGGTAATATATTTAATATCATTTTAGTTAGAGACTATATATAAATTGAAAGGCCTACTCTACAGCAAGAATTCTAATTATCGCTTGCCCATCTCCGATTCTCCCTCCTAACTGCATTTCGCCATTTTGTACGCCGCCAATGTACCCAGACCCTCCTCCACCATTAGGCCAAGCAGTGGCACCACCAAACCATCCTCCTCCTCCTCCTCCAGTTACCCAATTACTGCCGTGACCTCCTCCATTGTAACCACCATTTGTGGCTTTCCATTGTGGATCGTTCCTTGCAAAACCTGCCATACCGAATACGCCTGGGGCAGTGTGACCAGGGCTCCTATGGATAGCGTATTCTTGTCCCCCTGCGATTTGAGTTGCTCCTCCGCCACTCGCTGCTGGGTTGCCCTGGCACCCAGAATAGACAGCATCACCACCATTTCCATGACCAGGCGTTCCATAACAACCACCATGAGCACCTCCTCCTCCTCCTGCAACAATGATTCTTGAATTTAAGTTATCAAACCACATTCCATCCATAGTACGAATATCAGTCGCTCCACCACCTGCACCTCCTCCGCGTGAAGGACTAAGTCCTTGTGCCCCATCCTGGCCTTTGCCACCTACATAAACAAACAAATCGCCAGTTAGCGTATACGTGCCTGTCGTTCTTCCTCCTTGTCCACCAGCGACATTGTTAATTCCTGTAGGAAATGAACCCCATCCTCCTTGAGCACCAAACAATGTTATCCCAATCGAACGGGCATTCAATTTGGGGAAGCGTTGGCTCGATCCAGTAAAGTTGAACGTAATCACATTGCCAACAACGTAGAGAGATGGCAGATTTTGTGGAGTGAGTTCCATGGGTTGAGGGAACGTGAAATAGAATGTTGCAGAGGGTAGCATGAATTGAAATAAGGATCGATAGATGCCCAATCTCGTATCGTAAGATTCCAGTTGAAACGGGGTAGACGCATTATTGATGGTGGGCCATATGTTATGATTGAAAGTACAAAGTGACATCCTATTTCCACATATTCCGACAGCAGGATCGGATGATCGACCTCCTTCCGTGAAGACACATTGAAGAAAACGGTCAGTGCAAAAGAGTGAAAATCGGGTAACATCCTGCCAGCGTGAAGTCGAATTTATGATATTGGCGTATCGTTGCCATCTCGTATCGTAAGGCTCTGTGTATGCCGCGGTAATATCGTCAGAGTGAGGCCAGAATACATTCTCAAACGTACATATTGCCATTTGATTGCCGCAATTTCCGATCGCTACATCGCTTGATGATCCACCCGATACTGCCACGCATTGAATCATCGAACTTCGACACGTCGGGAGGAACCCTGTCAAGTTCTGCCAAATTCTAACTGGGCCCAAACTACTGGAATACACATTTCGGTAAACCTGCAATCTAGCGCTGGTATGGGGCTGTTGCCAAAATACGGTACTGTCGTTCCCGTATGGCCATCTTCCAAGTCTTTGAGTACAAACGCTCATTCCATGACCACACATGCCGACTGTCAAATCTTGGGTAATACCATTTAAACCACTACTATCCACACAACGCCTGAACTCTGCCCTACAATCTGGTAAAAATTCCGTCAGATTTTGCCAATTTGTAAGATTTGGTGTCGATGGCGGTGGTGATATCAAGG